CTTTCGGAGATGGACTTAACTCTCGGGGGTCCTGTCTCTTAAATAACCTAATAGTGTTGAAAGGTGCGTTAAACACTATGCCATTTCACAATTTACTTAAGAGATTTTTTCAGAATGCTTTCAAGTCTGCTGGGGTAATAATATAATAAATTGTAAAGCGCGTAGAGCTTGCTGTTGAGCGGGAATTTGAGCAATACAGATTCTACCTCGTATTATTATTACTATCAGATGGGTACTAAGTATCGTAATGAGTTGTGTGCATTAGACTTTTTCCATTCGCCAAGTATAAAGAATGTTTTTAAGGAGAATTTTTTCATTATTTTTTTTCTGATGCCATTGCAAGTTACATTTTTTAAATCATTGGAAACTGTCCTGGTATTTGCCCCCCTTTGCCCTTTTCCTCTTCGCCAAGCAAATGTGAGATGTGCTGACAAAATGAGTAACTTCTCACGATCCAAGAATGGAGATATCAGCTGAAAATCGACACTGGGGTCAGATTTATAGATTTTCAATTGATGCCATTTTGTTCAAGTCTACTGTGTCTTTTACTATTCCATGCTCACCAATTGCACAAACTTCAGCTATCAAGTTGATGTATCAATTTCCATAATGCAAAAACCCGAGAAGTTACTCATTTTGTCAGCACACCTCACAAATTGTTTGAATTATCCTTTGGTCAATGAAAACAAAATTGATTCATTCAGTCAAAGATCGTACGTAACAAGATAGTTCACTCAGCCAAAAATGCGTCCGCAGAAGTCCGCGCATAGCTTCAGATGGCGCTGCAGTTTCTGTTTTGATGCTCTCTTTCGTTTCTCCAGAAGAAGAATAGCAATAGCATAGTTTTTAAGTTTTACTTTTTTTCACATAAGTAGGGTAACTGTTCGCAAAGTCCACGCTTTTTCGAAGAGGGCGCCACCGAATTCTGAGGACACTTTTTTAATTGGCTCAAAGGGAGGAGTGAACTATCTTGTTATACACGATCTTTGATTCAGTCCAGCCTGGTAGGCTTATTCGATACCATCATCATCGATGCCACCTGTAGAATCCGGTGCAAGTGTCCGTAGTCCTTTGATAATAATATGAGGATGAGCGGAGCGTGCACGTGCTGTGAGATTCTATGTGAGCACCATATCGTCCGTCTGTGTTTACTATCATTATGGGGTATACCCCCCCAAACAAACGTGTATGCCTGTCCAAGCGAATTACCTGTATGTCTATCAGTCTGTCTGTCTCTGTCTGTCTCTGTCTCTGTCTCTCTGTCTCTGTCTCTGTGTCTGTCTCTGTCTCTGTCTCTCTCTCTCTCTCTCTCA